GTCTCGCCATCATGTCCCAGTGGTTGCTTTGCCTCGCGGCTGCCGCCATGGCTCTGGTGGCGCGTTCGGATGCCTTCGTGCCAGCAGGCTTCCGTGGACAGGCTTTGCAACAACCAGGAATGGCTAGCTCAGCCACTGCCCACGAGACCAAGACCTTGGGCGGTATGGCTGGCGTGGCCGCAGCTGGGGTTGCTTTGGGTGCCGCTGCTGGCGTGGCCTCGCGCCTGCACAAGCGCTCCAGCGTGATGGCACGACGCTCCCATGCTGTCAAGATCTATGACACCTGCATCGGTTGAACCCTGTGTGTGCGTGCATGCCCCACCGATGTCCTCGAAATGGTGCCAGCCACTGTGAACGCGGCAAAGCAGGTGGCATCCTCTCCTCGAGTAGAGGACTGCGTGGGTTGCAAGCGATGCGAGACAGCATGCCCCACTGACTTCTTGAGCATCCGCGTGTACTTACAGGACATCAGGGATGTTGAGCATTGCAAGTTTTCTAAGTTCAAACTCGCAGTGCATGTATGGCATAGGCATAGGTTGGGAGGGGTATGCGGCTACGTTTAGATTGTGAGGACTGAAAAACGTTGGGCCCGGTTTTTGGTCAGGAGTATGAGGAGACGCAGTACAGCTTGGGTCTGGACTTGGCTGACTGGTCCACCTAAGCTGGCTTGTAGCCCTCGTGTACCGAATATGTTTTTGGTGATGACGTAGCACAAGCTACGGCAGGGCGAGCCTCGAGCCTCTGTGGTTTCAAAAGCCTTTTTTGCTTGATGCACCTGCCGAACTGGTGAGACAGGAATTTTCTGTGGTGCTGTTGATTTCTTTGCCAGAAGGTAGTACATGCAGACACCCTAAGCAATTCCAGGGTTGTCCAAATTGTTTTCTTGTGTATGTTCAATGACACTGATTTTATAGCACAAGCCCAATTTTGGCTGATTCGGAATTTGCAGTCTCAGTATCAAGGTGTATTCATGCCTGCCGCTACATCGCACTCAATCCTTTTGAGCCGACGGCAAGTCTTTAAAGCTGGGTTTTTCTCCGATGCAGGACCCACTTCAAGAACTTTGCAAAATTCAACCGTTTTTGCAAGAACTCTGCACACATTGGGGGCAGAGGAGCTCCTATGGTAAGTTGTCGGGAAATGCTAGGAAGCCCGTTGGACTTTTTGGGCTCGATAGTGGCTTTGTAAGACGTTTGTCATGTGCCTTTTTGTGCGCATAGAAGACGTCTAGGTAAGTATATGATTACACACACACGTGTATACACATATATATATATGATTATATATGCATATACACATACACTATGCATACATAGTTTAGCACACACACAGTATACACAACTAACTAGCTAGAACCTGCTTGAATCCTGTGTTTTGCTTGGAAAAGGCATTTTTTCCGCTCCTAGACAAAGACAGGGTCACTCGGGCTTCTAAGTATATACATAAACCTGAAAGTAGATCCCCAAAGCATATATGCACCAGCATGCACCAGCCGACCTTCCTTGCAGACTCAAGATGCATAACCTTTGCCTTCAAACAACGCCAAGCAGAGACCAAGGGCTTAGGGCAGCCATGGATGATGAGACTGTCCGGCTGGGCTGCGTGCTGATGAGTGGAGTCCCGCGGCAGGGCACGACACGAGCCGAACGAAGGGTCATAGTCCGTCAGTAGCAAGAGTAATAGAACATTCAATCCCATCTAATCATTGAATCTAATCTATTGAACATCGATGCAACAAACTCTTTGGGGAACGTCCTTTTTTTGACCACCTACCCCAAATCCAAGACCATTTGGGATGTCCTTCTGAACCATGGAAAATCGCCAACAGGTGCAGGGGAATGCCCTGCAAGAAGGACATGTTTTTGGTTGAAAACCTTCTCCAAGCAGTGTTGGTCACACGAGGAGTACTTAGATGTTCTTAGGGTAGGCCGTTAAGGATGGGATTGATTGATCGACAAAGGCTTCACATTTATACAGGAACACTTCTCCCGATACCTTCTCAGCACGTGTCAGTTTTGCAGAGAGCCGCTTCCATGGTAGTCCATGGTAGTCCTGGGTTGGGGGAGATGACATCTTCTGGGAATCCCCCTGTTTGACGGACCTCCACAACACAACACGAGCACTGCAAACATAAGCAGGTCCACGCGACTATACCTAGATATGATGGCCGTGCTTGGTGTGTTGGCGAAGCCCCACCTAACTTTACATGATACTTTGATGGACCGAAATCCACCGCTTCCTGGGAGAAAGTTCCAGGCTGGCCGAAAGACTGCCGTGGTCCGGAACGGTTGGGGAAAGTGGGCTAGGGGTGCAGGATGGCCACGACATGTCGATAGACTAGTCAGGGTTCAAAGGAGAAAGAGCAAGATTTACCCGAGATCCGTGTGAATGAATACTATATACATCTATATACTCCCCTGCAGACTAACATGGACCCTGAGAAAGACTCTTGGAAGACGATTTTGATAGATTTTCCACATTCTCCTCTACAACCTTGTTGCCATGCTCATGCGCAGGGGGTAGGACATGACTGATGTGGACCTCTCTTACGTACATATTTGTATATAGGGAGAGCGAGAGGATATACCTGCAAACTCAAACAACCAGAAACAAATGGTTGTTCCAATATGGCAATTGAAATCCTTTACATAGGAAATGGCTGTTTGGGTAAATGTCCATTTGTTTCTGGCTGTTTGGTTTCCCAGATATATTATAATTGCTTGGATTTTTCAATCTTCGTCCTGTGCTTGTCGACCCCCGTCGTTCTTCTCCCACCGTGTCAACTTCCGATTCGCGGACTGGGTCATTGCACATGGGAGTGGGACATGCTGCAATGCCTGTCTTGTTGGTAGAGCGTGAGATCGTTTCACTTGGCAGACGGTAATCTGACATTCAAGACTTGGCCCCTCTGCGATGCCATGGTTGTTTTCTTCAGGAAGAAGCAGCGAATCAAGAAAAAACACGTCCTTTTTAAGACCATGCAGATTTTTCTGACCCCTGTAGTTCCTATGACAGGAGACTATGACAAACCTTGAGCATAGAACCTTCCTCAAAGGATGCAATCCTGTAACACCTTTTCTTTCGCCCAGAGAGATGGAGTCCAACGGGTGTTCTTCGACGCACCGTCCTTGGATCCGGTCTCGGTTCCGTCCCCGTTAGCGGTCCGGGTGTAGCCGAAGAAGGCAGTCAATGGGGCACCGTTTGCGTGGCTGGCATAGGCTCCGTGGGGCGGGTGGCGTTGGGGTCCCTGGTGCGTTTGGTGCATCGAAATTCCACTGGTTAAACTGGGGGGGTACCAGCCCAGTTGGGCGGCGAGGCGTGAGCCGAGGATTTCGAGGTGTCAATGTCCGAAACACATCAAAAGCAGTCTTTTCCAGTGCCGCAGTGAGGCTCAGCTGGAGATAGAGGTGCCCTCCACAGCCACTCCAGCTCTGGTGAGAGAGAAGGCGATGGATGGGACGGAGAAATGACCACGTTGAGTCTTTTTTTCCTTTTGAATGTCTTAAAGGGTGTTGTATGTAATCCCAGCCAACACCTACCAACACCTATGTTTTCTCCTATTGTATGTTACTCTTCTCATCATGACTCATGACCCCTTCCTGGCCGCTGCGACGCGCGACGTCGGCCACAACGGCCACGGAGGGAGCAGCTGGGTGGGGGCGAGAGGATGACGCCGGGTGGGGGGCTGTCGTGTGTGGAATAGACTTTCTTCAAGCACTTTTGACCCAACCATGGGAATGACCAGCCATTGGGCTGCGATTCAATCTTCATGCATCCACTGATCCAGCTGCTCTTGAAAGACTTTTCAGACAAACTCCTCTTGGGGCTGAAGAGCCCATGACTGCCCTCTTGGGCAGTGAAGCTCTGGGGGTGCCAAATCTCAGAAACCTGAACCCTCCCCCCATTGACCACTTCTTCCGGACATCGCGAGCGTTTGCTTGCGAGTGGGTGAGGCTCTGTCCGGCCAGGTGGCCCAAGAGCTTCGAGTGTTGGCGCAGCAGGTGCATCTCAGCGCCGCGGGGTGTCTTCGGATGCAGCTGGGGGAGTCCCTGGGGGGAGTCCGGATCCATCGAACTGCGTGCAACATCCGACTCCTCCAACGGTCGAAAGAGATGCAAAAGGGTCGACCAGGCCCCCAGGCCCCCGCTGGCGATGCATGTGGCTCAGGTTGTTCCATGTTCCATGATCAGGTTTCCCTTCGTTCCTTGCTGTTTGAAGCTTCGTGGCTCGTTCGACGCTTCGCCCCTTCTTGAAGCTTCCGCGGACGACCGTCGGCCGCGGTCACGACGGGTGTCCACCGAGGGTAGAAACAGCGGTGCTTTCTGGGGAGATGGGAGGATCCCCCTGGGATGGGAGGATCCCCCAGCCAGTCAAGCTCGTAGAAACCAACATTGAAAGGTCCAAGTGTAAGACCCACCAACGTTGGTTCTTGGGGCGGTATGTATACATGCCTCATACT